GAGATCGAATCTGGTGGTGAGACACTCTGTCGGGCGATGGAACGCTGACGGCGTAATCCATCGAAGCTCTGGCACAGGCTTACGAGGATTGCCACCGAGGTAGGGCTTTTCGCTAGCAACATCTGGAATGCGCCATCCTCAATGCCCTTGAGAATCTGCCGAATTTTCTCTTCTTCGGGCATAGATTGGTTAACACGCCTGCAGAGGTCGAGCACATCCTCAATGTAACTCGTAAACGTTTCGCCAGGCTGCTGGGCTCTGTGGCGCAGACGCTGGTCGGCGCGGAGCTTGCGGACCTCTGGTCGGCCGAACGCTTCTGTTACGAGGGTCTTAAAGGAGGACCAGTTGGTGATGGCGGTTTCGCGGTTGGTAAACCAAAGCTTAGCTACGTCTGCCAAGTAAAAGATGACGTAAGCGAGTTTAGAGTCGGCGTCCCACTTGTTGCTGACGCTTACGCGTTCGTACAAGGAGAGCCAGTCTTCGACGTCTTGCTCACCACTTCCGCTGAAGATTGGTGGGTCCCGCTGGCGAGTAGCGCCGGGGCAGGTAGACGGGGCAGCCGATGGTGCTGGCTGGGCTGGGACGGGCTGGTTGGCGACTGCGTCAGTCATGTTTCGCGGTAGTCTTTCAGGCAACTTGCGAGAGCGGAGCTCCAGGTCTTCTTGGGGATCTCAGCAGCCTCCACCAAATGTGATGACGTTTATTCGAGCCGAGAAGTCGCAGCGAGGTCGCAACGGAAAGTGGGCGTACGGCAAGTCTGGCAGAGGTGGCACAAACTCTCGCGCAAGCAGAGCACGGGCTTTTTGTTGTCTTCCGAAGGCGCATACGCGTTGGTGCGTATGCTCCACTACAATATAATTAATACGAACAAGCTAGCGTTTTTCTTTTTTGGGGGTATTAGTTCTATGAGAACATGGTCGTTTTGTGCATTACCAATGTCATGCTGCACCGCCGTAAAGTTTCGCCTGACCAGGGTGGCCACCTGCGTACTCGTGCCTTCGCTTACATAGGATTTATAACCCGGCAATGTCGCCTTTCTCCCACATTCCTGTAAAGCTATAACATCCGGTCGATCCCCTTTTCGCAGGAATTCCTGCAGAACCGCGCGCTTGCGCGTGAAGCCTCTGCAGTTCTATTGCCAAACGGTGTTTTTACTGAATCTGTGAGCCATGATTGCCACTAAGGTGATTCGTCGGCCTGCCTAATACTTCTCGAGCGGCTGTTCATACGCCTGATCCCTCTTCGCGAATTCTGTTTTAAGTTCCTCGGTAAGTTTATTATCCCGCTGGTGCAACTGCTGTGTCCGATTTTGAAACATCTCGAACATTAGTTTCTCGAAGGCCTTACGCCATTCATCGTCCTGGGTAGATTTGGCTTCAATGTTTGCCTCCAATTGCGCTATTTTCATGTCTATCACGGTCTCTACGTTCTCATCTATTACGGGCTTTTCCGCTTCTTTAGCCCTCTTTTTCGCTGGAGGGGGAGTAGTGCTCTGCTCCTCCGGCCTTTCTATATTTTAATTCTGTGGCATTCGTGGTAGGGAAACCGGTGTTGTGTTAGACGACTTAATAGCTATTTGAAGCTCCTCTATTTGCCGACTCATCATTGCTAGCTGCTCTTTAAGCATGCGATTCTCTTCCTTAATGGTTAACATTTCTTCATCGCGTTTATCCTGAGAAGCCCTATCTCCCCAACCCACCTTGCGGTTCGGTGACGTGGGTCTCCCACTGTTGAAGACAGCACTGCCGGAAGTCCCCTCGTTTACTGCACCAGTCATTGGTGGCAGCTGTCCTTCTTGTCTTTCCGGTAGTCTTGGGAAGGAACCTGCTCTTCCTCTTGACCCTCTTCGATGCTTCGACCGGCTCCTGGACCGTTCTTTGATCTCTTCCATTCTGCACGTTTGTGGATCGGCGTCTTTCGCCTTCCGCTCTTCTCTTTCCATTCGCCGCCAGGCCTCCCACTGTCTCTTCTTTATTGTATAAGGGGTCCTGAAAGCTTCCTTGCATTTCCGATCTGCTGTCAGATGACCTTTGCGACACAGCTTACACTTGGGCTCACATGCATGGTCCTCGGGTGGAGCTGTCATTCCGCATCCCCGGCAGCGAACATGGTCGCTGATACACACGTCCGATCTGTGTCCTAGCTGGCCACATCGGTAACACACCTCGTATCGTTTCTTATAAAGCACGCACTTCAGCGGTACGCCGTAACAGTACATCCATCTGGGCATTGTCTCATTTTTGAAGATGATGACCGCTGAACTTGAGTTGCCCAGCTTACTAACACCAAGTATCGGCGGGTTCCTTGAGTTGCCGAAAGCCTCTGTCAGTTCTTCTACTGACAATCTCGGGTCGATGCCACGCACCACACACCGCCCGCTATCCTCGTACGGCGCGAGGTACGCCGTGACGTCGTAGTTCTTGCCTTCAATCTTGATAGACTTAATTCTGGTCACCTTCCAGACAGTGTCTATGTCGGGAGTGCTGAAAATCAGGGTGCCTTGCTTGTCGTTAACAATGAGCACTTCCTTTTCTTGTCCTTTAATCCATGGAATTCGCGCTGCCATGCGCACCGCCTCACTGAGCCTGGTGTTCGGAACTTTTGTGAGCGCCAGCCCGCACTTCGGACGAATGATTATCTTGTAGTCGTTCGGCGGCAACCACGGTAGGTACGACGCAATCGAGCGCTCCGCGATCTTGTGCCCCAGCTTTTTGTATGCTGCGTTCGCAGCCGCCGTCTTCTTCCTGTCTTCGCCGGGCTCGGCTCCACTTTCTGCCCGGGCGTTGCCATCTTGGCGTCCCTGTCTGTCATCTCTAGCGGAGTCACGCAGCTCTTTAACATGTTTTCCAACTTTCGTGATCCAGTCAGCGGTTCTAAATTCTTCAGGGGTAATTTCAGTACCCTCCATGGTCACCTCCATTGCCGTCGCGTCTCCACAATGGGGCTCTGAAGCGAACCCGCCGAGCCGCCGCGTTTGTTCACCGCTAGCGTTAGGCTTTGCTAAAATAGCCATAAAATGTCCCAAACGTACTCACAGTCCTGAAGTCGTGGTCTAGATGATCCCTAGAACTTCAGGCAGGCGATTATAGGAGTTGTTTGCTGTAACTGCACAATTTCCGCCAGACCAAACAACTTTCTGCGGAGCTGATGCGAGGCACATCCGAACTCCCTGGCCCCTTGGTGGCCTCTCCCCTGGCCCCTTGGTGGCCTCTTCGAAAGAGAGAGAAAAAAAAGAAGAGCGGGAGCACGGAAGAAAAAAATAAAAAGCACTAAGTCAAACAGTATGACAGCAGGGGTGTTTTCACAGTGTCGCTTTTTTTGTGCTTTGTGTACATGCTAGTTCAGTCTAATCAAGGAGGATTAAAAAATGGCCGCATATCCACGGAGTGAATAATGGATAGTGGGGCGAAGCATCCGTCCGTTCATTCGTTCTCGCTTCCATCCATCCATGCGTGCGTCTGTGTGGCCGCCCGTGCGCCCATCCGCCCGTCCGTGCGTGCGTCTGTTCGTGCGTCCGCACGTTCATCGGTACGTCCGTCCGTGCTTTCGTCCATGCACCCGCTCCTGCGTCCGTCCATGCGTCCAGCCGTCCGTGCAGCCATCCGTGCGTCCGTTCATGCATCTGTCTGTGTGTCCGTTCGTCCACTTATTCAACACTCCAAGTACCATCATCTCGCATCTTTCCATCATATATTCCTCATATAGAAGCACCGCCATCCAGCGGACATTCCAAGGACTGAACGAGAGGAGGCACACGCACACTTTCTTACGGCTAGTGTTTCGTGTCTACTTCCCACCTTTATCCACCTCAAGTTCATGGTATATACTAGTTCACTGTACTCATGGCACTGCGGCCCAGCGCTCGCTAAACCTTTCTAAAACCTAGGGGCTTACGCCCAGGGTGTATAACGTAGCAACCCTTTCTTGTCTTGTGTGCGTTGTTGAACAAAAAATTCGCAGCGTGCGCGTTAACTAAAAGCCGAATTCTCCTATCTCTCATTCTCCCTTAGCAGCCATTGGCATGTACATTGAGCACTATATTTTATTGTTCAACAACGCACAAAGAAAATCTCTCACCGGCACCACCTTGGAGGTCAAAATGTTATACTTGTTATACACTACTACTACAACGGCTACGAAAGACGAACTGGTGCCGCTATGAGAAGCTTCGCCCCTAAAAAGTGCTGGAGTGGAAATGATTGCGCAGAAGTGAAGCCGTTCCTCTGGCAAGATGGTGGCTGTGGCGGCCATCTTACTAGGGGCATGCTAAAGTATCACCGTTGATGGATTAAAAGCGAAGCGTTTCCCTCGCACGCCGAACGAGTTTAATGTGCGAACTTTTTCGGGTCACATAGTGCTCCAAGTGCGTGTTAAAGTTACCAGTTTTCCTTAGTGAGCCTCGAATTGGAGGCAATGTTCTTAGAAGATTCAGTCATCCATACTCGTTTCTGTGTGTTATTTCGTCGGGAACAACTATCTTTTATTATAGAACTAACGTTGAATTTACATAACATATCAAAGCCACTTGGTCTTCAAGTGGGCACTATCAGAAAAGAGCATGTTTCCGCCATCTTGGCAGTGGCAAAAGGTGGCTTCACTTCTGCTGGCAAGGCATTGCGGGAGCTTCCACTCCAGCAATTTTTCTTTAATCCTCCTTGGGTCCAATGCTAAAGTGAAGAGCTAGCAATTACGAAAAGTAAGAAAAGTAAAAAAATGTTTTTTTTTTCTGTGCTCTGTGAGCATGCTAGTCCGGCCCACTATGTGAAGAGCTAGCTATCACTAAAAGTAAAATAAAAGTAAAAAACATTTTTGTTCTCTGTATGAAAACAGTGATGGATGAGCCACCACTTTACTCTAAAAAAAATTGTCCTCGAGTCCTTGCAGTATATGTCCGCGGTAATCGATCTCGGAAACCGAGGGCTGCACTCACTTTAAACACATAATATATTACGTTAAGTTCTCATCCTCGTTAATAAATCAGCAAGTCAGAAGCCTGTAAATCTGGTTAGAAATCTTTTTATTGTTATTTCAGAACCAAGTGACCACATTGAAGAAAGCCCGGCGTTAGAACAAGGGGCATCATGAGACGTTTTCCCGAAGAGAAAGCGGTGGGTAAGTTCTGTCGAGACCGACTGGCTCGACTGAAGATCAACATGGCGGAATGACTAGGCCGTTCTTCAAGAGTGTCAGTGACTGTGAGTAATGGGATGTGTTAGCAAGTTGAGTTGATTTCGGAGAAGTAACCTGAAAAGGAGAACGTAAGTATGCATGAACCTCGTGAAAGTTGCAAAGATTCATTTCCAACCCTGCAGATATTGCAAGTTGTTGGTATATGGCCTTGTTGTGCGTGTTATGCTGACCATTGAAATTTGTTTTGAGCACACATAATCTCTGGGATGAGTTCGATATATTTCGCAGCAAGACGACGCGTTACATCTCGCAACCGTACTGTCGTTAATTCGACAGCATTATTGTCTGTATACGCTGCAGCTTCGTTAACATAACACACAGCGTCAAATTTGGTTCCGTCAAATAAAAAACACATAGCTCTCTTAAGGTATCTTTGATTGGATTAGGTGTTAAATCATGTAGGTTCAAGGGTCATCTTCTAGACTAATTGCACGAAGTCATTAATGTAGCATTGATGGTCTTAAACCAATATGACACTCCTTCACAGCGACTGCCTCTGTTCATCGTTGGACGATTTTTTATTATAACTAAAGTACATAAGAGATGAAATAAGACAATGCAGACTGTGATGACTTATTCAAATGCGAACGTTTGAAAAATATATCTACATATTTTTCTTCGCTTATTTTCCGCAGACCACCTAAAAAGTCTAGGTAGAAAACAACGAACCTGCATTGAATAATTTGTCATTAGTGTATTATTTAAGGACTAACCTTTAATTACGAGCACCCTGATTATAAAAAACGTAACCGTTACAAGCCTAGCCTACTTTGGCCCCAGCGGGATGGCTAAGCAGCGAGCTTACCATGACATGTCAGTGCTCGAGTTTTACATAGCGCTTAGCGTACGTAGTAGTAGTAAGGGTAGTGTGCGCCGTAGTAGGCGGCGTAAGGGTATCCGTAGTACAGGCCGTCAGCGATGTAGTACTGTGGTGCCGCCACAGCCTGCGAGACGGCGAAGAGAGCCAGAACGGCCAGGAGGATCTGCAAGATCAACCATGGTTCCATTAAGAAAAACGATAGCATCAACGAATACAAGGTGACTGCGTCTGTCATTGAGGAAAAATCTATTGTGCAGTGCTCTTCCTAATCTGTCTTTGTAAGTAATAAGTATTGATGAATCACTAACAATAAATGTACTGGAGTTGGTGTTTCGATATGGGGACTACTTCACTAAATAAAGTTATCTTTCTCTCTTCTCTGGCGGGTCCACTTGCGGAAACGTGAGTTCCATCGGTATTCCTTGCTAAAGAGTCATCACTTCAGGAATCCATCTTCCCCTAAACTTGTACGGGAAAAAAGTGCCTTAATAAAGAATGGGGGCTCGTAGGGAGAATAACAACATGATCAGGTTCCAACGGGCTCTCGGCGTCTGCGTCAGTCCCTCACGTTGTTAATAAAGCTACTTTCTGGCGGCATTATTGACGTAGTTTCACAGACTGTAAACTACCAGTGGCACCGAGACAAGATGCAGTGATGTACTTATATGGCTTTAACATAGTAGCTAAATCATTTAATGTATTCGATATCTCACCTAGACAAGTATTTCGCTCTGCATAACTGTCGACGTAAAACCACGAAGTTTAACCTATACAAGGCGATTACGAATCTTTGAAGTCGTGCAGAGATACTTCAACGAAACTTTGTAGTGGCCTTGCAAGAGTATATGAAGCTGCACACGTTCACATTGCATTCCGCATAGTAGAAACCTACAATTAGCATTTGTCTTGAAGGATGGTTTACAATATGTTAATATCAATGTTCACAGTATTAAATGGTGGACTTAAAGCTTACAGCGTTGACGGTTTCATTATGAATAAATGCGATGAGCTTCTTCATAGCAATGTTTTCAGCTAAATATATTTAATACGAATATATATAAAAAGACGTTATTGCGATAATGGTATCGCGTTGTCTGCAAATGAAAATATAATTGAGGTTTTTTTTTGTTTTTTTAACTTTGCCGCCCCTGAGTGTCGACAGTAAATCCTGAAGTGTTGACTATCGCTCACTATATCAAACATCCTTCTCGCAGCTCTATGACTCAATTCTTTACACACTCGCGATTCTTGTCCAGCTCAATCAATTCATAATACTAGCGAACACTCACAAGAGACAGCACGGCACGACGTTTTTTGTAGTCTGTACTGCAACAGAATCGAAAGCTGGGCTAGTTGGATATGCATGGTATAACTGTAAGTTCGAGCGCACGAATAAACAGAAAGGAAGATAGGACAATCGAAGAGAGGACTGCGTTTCGAAATAGAAGGCACAAAGTAGACGACGGACCAAAAGGGGGACAAAGGGTGTCTCCTTCTTCGTCCGTCGTTCACTTTCGACTTGTATTTTGAATCACGCAATACCAACACGCCCAGTGATTCCCTCTCCCGCTGTAGTGCCTGTTCGCTACAGTATTGTAAATGCACCGCCAGTACCAAACAGCCTAGCCTAGTGGATTAGCGTGTTACTTGACACCAGCAGGAAGGTGTAACACAATTTACCGTAGCAGAAGAGACACTCCTCGTTAACGCGAGGCGACAACTAAGTGCGGACGAATGAACGCGTCGATGGAAGCCGATGTCGATACCTACCAGAACCTTGATCATGATGGCTGGGGTCGGTGGGTCTCCGAGTGCTGCTGCTCGAGAGGGAAGTGCGTCTGTGCCTCGTCACCGACACTTGCTCCGTTATATACGGCTTCTCTCAAGGTGACGTCTTCGTATTCAGGCGCCCCTCTCGGCCCCGCCCCCGCAAATTTCGCAACCGAATTAATAGTTCGCTCGCCAGTGCTCGCGTGTGCCACGGAACCGAAGAAGAAGGAAACGCAGATCAGGGACTCGGCAACACCTGCGCTGCGACATTCTATCAGTCACTCGTCATTCAGCACGCAAATTTCTTTATCTGTCTTTTTTTTTTGTCTATACCACCTCTTGTATTGAGGCGCGAATATCTTTCTCTATACAGGGTCACCGATTATGAAGCGAACAAGTGATGTATGTATACTTTGCGACGGTTCTCCTGACTTGCCTCGATTCGTCTTTGAACATCGAACACAAGACTTTGGAGCACTGGCATGACACATACCAAATTACAGATATACACCTAACGCAACCACGCATAGCATACATCCGACTTCTGTGGTCTTCTTTGTACGTGCGCTGCTCTCCGTCTCTATTCAATCTTCATTTCCTTATTCCCAGTGCATGCAGGGTACAAACCAGACGCTCCACTTATTCTTTTTCCTGCCTCATCTATTATATAGATAACCTAATACTGCTCGTTTTTCCCAACCCACGTGTAGGGTAGCTAACAAAACCAAAGCTTGGCTAACCTCCTTTTCTTTCCTCTTCACTTCCCTTTTATATCTCTTTCTCTCTTAGTGGTGTTAACGATGCACGTTTTAAGACGACGCCGGCGCAAACGGGAGAACTGTACATTGTGAAGTGCTCATAGATCGGGTGACAAGGTAACTCCTAGCAATCCATCAATAATATTGGTACAAAATAGCTTCTGGGAACGTTCTGGTCATTAACGCGCAGCTCTCTTCAAATCTGTCCACCCATTGGCCAACTAATTGTTTATGTCGGCTCGACGGGAAATGGTGCTCGTCACGAACTTCCGCGTGCGTTTTCTCACGCCTTGTCTGTGTGTTTGGTGCACGGGAATATATTAGCTTGCGCGTGCATTTGTGTACGCTTGCGTACGTTGCCGCACTTGTGTAGACATTGCGAATGCAAACACGAATGCAAAAGCACACAACGACGAAATTCTCTCATGCACTCACCAAACTAGCCATACTTGTGTGACGAACTTCGATTAAGGCCAGTGGAGATTTCTGTAGGTCACCTGGGAGGGGGGCGCAAAAGTCAGCCTCATACGTTGACTAATAGCGACGAGTAGTTGTTCTTTCGCTGTTTTAAAACGCTTTATAAATCATATTGACCCGATTGCCTTCCCGACATCAAGCCTCCCCAAGGCAAGTTTGACAAAAAGCCACAAGCAATATTTTTATGCATTAAAAAGAAAAAGCACCGGCGTATCTCACTGGTAGAATACTGGGCTGTCACCAGCGGACCTGGGTTCGAGGCCCACTATGACATTGGTGCTAGGTTTCTTTTTTTTTTCTTAATTTGCGCGATGAGGTTACGGACACCGGCGGCGACGGCGAACAACTGTGCGCGACCCAAGTTGTGATCTCATAACAGCTTTCCCTGTAAAAAAGATCCTGCACACGCTTATGGTCATGACATTATTATTGCTTGCAATGACGTTACGAGTTCTGACGGTATCTTCTCGAGCCTGAATTGATAGAGAGTAAATAAAAACAATATAATCTCACATAAGCAACAGTACTACTTGATCTAACAAAGAAGTTGAAGACAAAGAGCACCTTTCTTCGACAATGTAAAAGTTACGACGCTCCTCATGACATTTTTTTTTTCAGAAAATGAAATGCTTCTATCAACAGCCCTCATCAGTAGCAAACATTTTAGGCCCATGACTAAGAGGACATTTTAAAAACCATGTTCAGCACGCAGTTATGCGTCATTTTTGGAGAAATCGAAATTATCACAAAAAAATTAGATCCGATAGAGAGTTTGTTACGATTATCATCAACCGGCATTCTTCGCTGCATGTTTCTTGTAATTTCATGCTTGTTCAGAATTACTTGTGTGAACACAACAGTTGATTTTAGGGTCCAGCCCTTAAGGGACAAGTTGCAAGTGACTGAAGTTATAATCGATTACGACAACATATTAGCGAACTTGTATGTTATGTGCGGGCACTTCGTTTGCGCGAATACTTGTGTTCCGTCAACTTTTATCTTGAGCGGTTGCTTTATTGTATCAGAGAACCTGAACTGAGTGCGTGTGTTGTACCATGTTCCTTTGTGTAGTATTGTGCATGTTTTAGACTTTGCGACGACAATTGTTGAGCAAGGAAAGAAGAAGAACCGGCGCCACGCGTTGCACGGCATCAATTTCTTCTTATATACGTTCAATTAAAAAAAGAGCTTAGTCTTTCACAACACCAAGCGCGCCGTTCTGGCCGAGCGAGAAAGCATGCTGAGCGAGAAAATGGGTAAACAGAAACACAGAAAACTTTCCTCTGTCACGTTTTTTTTTTTTAGCAATTGGTACACGAATTCACGTGAATCGAAAAAAATCCACGCATCTCCACGCACTGAATGACGGAGTATAGTTAAGGTAGGTCTCAAGGTCCATAATTTCTACGTTGAAGTCGCCGACTAGTGTAAGCACGGATAGATGGATGGACCAACGCACAGACCGACGGACGGATGGACAAACGGCGTAGGTGATCATGTATTTTGTTCTCGTATACTTGACTGATGTATACATAAAGTCACTTTTTTACACAGATGTGTTCGTTTTTTTGTTGTGCAGGTGTTCGATTTCGGTTTCGGTATTGTGCAGCGTGACGGACACCGAAAATTCTAGGCC